TTAAAAGATGAGTAATGATGAAGCCCTTAACACACATTATAAACCTAGAGTAATTAAAATAGATTGAGGTCAAGGATTGACAATTCCTTTATACCAGTGAGTCTTAAACTTCTTTGCGTTTAAGAATCAACTGGAAGCTTTGTGGGAAATGCAGATTCCAGGGCTCAGTCAGTAATGGTTCTGGTCCAGTGGCTTTGGAGTGAACCTAGAGATGTTTTAAACAGTTGGCCTGGCTCAATCAGAGGCAAAAAAAATCCAAAGAGCCAACTGAGGCAATGATTCATACTTCCTATTATTTCTTGACTTGTAATCGTAATTTTAGGCAACCCTCCTGAGCCTGAGGGGTGTTTCAGTCCAGCCATTAGGGCTATTCTTCCTGGGTCTTCAATGCATTTTAAAGCATTGTTCTTGCTTATACTTTTCCCAAGACCTAGACTTGGTCAATTTATTGATGCTCTCTGTAACAGGTGACTTTACCACACTCTTTCCTTCATTTTGGTGTTTGGAGGAGAAATTACGTTGCGGTTTCTATGATGTGGGTGATAATCTTGCTTCTTGGACCAGAATCCCACACTGGACCCCAGATTGTGGATGGTGCCACAAGAAGGTGACCATGCTCCATGGGGTTCCATAAAGCAGCCTGCATTCTCCTCTTGTGACTTACTCCAGGAGCTTAGGGAGTCTGAGCTGATGGGGTGAGAGGTCCCTTGGCAGTGAGGAGTGGGATCCACATGCAATTTAATAATAATTCAACAATAAGCACATGGTCCAAGGGATTAGAGAAAACGGGCATCTCAGGGATACAGGGAACCCGTGCAGAAGAAGTTGTCAATCAAAGCTCTTCCTTGTGGGAAATTCCATTCTACCTGAGACACCCTTTTCCTTCTACTTGGCTGCAGATGGACTGCTGCGACTAAGAAGCCCTACCTTCGTGTTGGAAAGAAGCTGCTCTTCATCACTGTGTCCTTAAAAAGAGCGACGTCCCACTGTTTCCATGCAGGAGACATGGAATAAAGGGGGTGGGGAGGTTTGAGGCTCATTTTTAGGCTTGTACGTCCCCAATTCCAGCAGCTGTCTCAGCACTTAGGTCCTTTTTGTCCTATGTATGCTCCCGAAGACTTTCTGGGCTGTCCTGATCTTTTTCTCCTCCTGAACGTCATGCCAATTTGACCCTCAGGGACTCCAATGCTACTAGCCTCCTGTAGCCTCAGCTCGGGTAGCAATCAAGGGTCCCAGGAGGTAATTTTTACAGAAAGAAAATGCAACAGTTGTCTTGCCTGGGGTGGAATGATACAGTAACCAGGAAATCTGGGACGCCATTCGTCAGGGACTTTCAGGCCAAGGAAGAAACTGCTGAGGACTCTGCCTTTTAGCTTTGCATGTCGTCGCAGGAAATGTGTTGGTTCAGCGTTACCAGCACGCAGCTATCAGGGTGGGGTGCTGGAAAATGCACCAGGCTTGCTCAGGGGACCTGAGCTCTAACCCTGATTCTGCACACACAACCAACTACATGTGCAGAGCCCAGTGAGAAAATGTGGGGCCTTGTTCAGAAATTCTTCCTCTTTTTAAAAAGATTTTATTTACTTGAGAGAGAGAGAGAGAGAGCACACGCATGAGCAGGGAGAGGAGTAGAGGGAAAGGGAGAGGGAAAGAATCTCAAGCAGGCTCCTTGCTAAGCACAAAGCTGAATAGTGGGCTCGATCTCATGACCCCAAGACCATGACCTTAGCCGAAACCAAGAGTCAGATGCTTAACCGACTGAGCCACCCAGGTGCCGCCCCTTGTTCAGAAATTCTTAAAGCGTTTAGAGATGGGAACAGCAGATCATTCAAACTCAGCACAGGGTTCTTTTGAGCGCAGGGCCCAATGTGCCTGGACATGATGAAGGGCTGTCATATGCCCTTGGTCCTGCAGGGTGTGTGACCTTGAGTAAGCCCTACGCCTCAATTCTTCACCTAGAAACTGAGGGCATTGGAGGAAGAGAGCTTCCTGATAAGTTCTCCACAATAAGGGGGGGCCCCACAATGAGGGCAGGAGGGGCAAAGGGGTCAGCACCCTGAGCAGCCTCAGGAAGGGAGACATAGGATGGCATTCTTCGGGGGGGTGGGGAGCCCAGGAAATCACACGCTGAGTTAGGAACAACTGAGAGAGACCAGTGAGGAGCCGGTGGAGACCAAGCAGGGTGCTGACACGGCTGGTTGTAGACAGTAGGGCTGCCTCAGATCAAGCTGCCAGGACAGAATAGCATGGGCCAGGGGCTTCACCAATAGGCATTTATTGTTCACAGTTCTGGAGGCTGCAATGTCCAATGTCAAGGTGCTAGCAGATTTGGTGTCTGGAAGGACCTTTTCCCTGGTTTGCAGAAGGCTGCCTCCTCGCTGTCCTCACAGGGCGATCTCTGGTCCCTCTTTCTCTTCTTATGAGGACACTCATCCCCTCATTAGGGTTCCACCCTCATGACCTCATCTAAACGTAGTCACCCCCAAAGCCTTCACCTCCTAATGCTGTCACATTGGAGGTTAGAGCTTCAACATACGTTTAGGAGACACCAACCTTCAGTCTGTAACAGGAGCTTGGGTGTGCAGCCACAACGAGATTCCTGACACTGAACCCCACAAGACACGGACAGTGCACGCCGTCCCTGGCAACATGGGCAGCCCACACACTCCCCAGGGAGAGGTGGTCCTGGGAGCCCTAAGCTCTGTGCCTCATGGAGGGGCAGGTGAGCTAGGGGCAGGGAGCCAGGCTGGAGAGGGACTGCCTAAAGCTGTCTTATCAATTTTTCTCCCAACTGGCCAATCAGATAAATCCCTCAACCTTCACTGGAAGAATGGAGAGGGTCAAGAGAGGCAGGGATGTTAAATCCATGGTGCTCTCTTTATCTGGAAGGAAATCTCCAAAGCAGGCAATGAACCCCAAAGTATGTGGAACACGAATTGTCATGATGCCCATGTTTTTCCCGAGGACCATTTGTTTTCATGGGATGTTGTTCCTTTTTTCTGGAACACGTTTCTCCTCCCCCATCTACCTAGATGGCTATGATTTATCCTTCAGGACTCACTTTGGGTCCTTCCCCCTCTTGGCTCTATTAACACCCCCGGGTTTACTGCATGCAAAGCCTCTTGAGGAAGGAGTTCTGCATTACTCCCCCCTCAGCCTCGTGTCGCTAGAGCACAGTCAGGGCATGAATGAGCAGACACGGAGCCCACCCATCCAGACAGAGACACAGATCAGACTCACAGGCCCAGAAGCCCAGCACACTCCAGCCAAGATGCTCCACCCTACAAGACAATGAATAACTAGGAGATGCCCTATTTTCAGTGCTGTTTTGGGAGTGACTGAAGACAGAATGAGAGTACGTTTTAAAATAGTGGTCATTCAGAGATCTTGCCATTTGCAACGACATGGATGGAACTGGAGGGTATTATGTTGAGTGAAATAAGTCAAACAGAGAAAGACATGTATCATATGATCTCACTGATATGAGCAATTCTTAATTGCAGGAAACAAACAGGGTTGCTGGAGTGGGGGGTGGGGTGGGAGGGATGGGGTGACTGGGTGATAGACACTGGGGAGGGTATGTGCTCTGGTGAGCGCTGTGAATTGTGCAAGACTGTTGAATCTCAGATCTGTACCTCTGAAACAAATAATGCAATATATGTTAAGAAAAAAAAAAAAAAGAAGAAGAAGAAGGTAGCGGGAGGGGAAGAATGAAGCGGGGGAAATCGGAGGGGTAGACGAACCATGAGAGACGATGGACTCTGAAAAACAAACCGGGGTCTAGAGGGGAGGGGGGTGGGAGGATGGGTTAGCCTGGTGGTGGGTATTGAGGAGGGCACATTCTGCATGGAGCACTGGGTGTTATGCACAAACAATGAATCATGGAACACTTCATCTAAAACTCATGATGTAATATATGGGGATTAACATAAGAATAAAAAAAAATAAAAAAAATAGTGGTCATTCAACCTTTTTAAAATTAGAAGTCAGTTTGGAGTTAGAGCCAACAAGACCTGCTGATGCATGGGATGTGGGGGGTGCAGGCAAGAGGCAGAGGGTGCTCATGGTCTTGGCCTTGAGTGGAACAGTAATTTGCACACCACTGAATGGACCGCAGAACACAAGAAGAGCAGACTCAGGGGCTCGTGCGTGCACAATACAAGAGGAGAGTGTTTCCTCCAGACCTCACTACCTGCTTCTGTGTGCAAGTTATCTTTCCATCCTGAAGTTTTCTCTCCCCGAGCTCTGAGCACTGGGCTCTGCCCATGCTGTGGAATATTCTGGGAATCCTCGTATCTTTAGGCTCCCCCATAGGGTCAGCTGAGGCATCCCCGAGATGGCATCGTGGCGGGCTCCTGCTGTCCCCCACCCCAGCTTCCAGTGCTGACCCCAGTGGGCTCCCCCATAAACCTCCTTCCTGGATCTCCACACAGAAGGCCTCCAGGGGACACAGATGGGTACCGAGGCTAATTTAGCTACACAGAGAAAAAGCCCACCTAGTGGTCTGGAGTATCAAGGGGCAAGCCAACAATCTGTTTCCCTCACCTATCAGAAATGAAGGTGTTATCCGGTTGTGCAGGAGGACAGAGTACTGGGGTAGATGATGAATCCTGGGCAGTCCCTCAGGACTTCTCTTAAGTGCTGACTTCTGGGCTGGTTCTGCCCCAAACGCACAGTGTAAAACAACACAACAAAACAGAAACACACACACACAAAACCTCCAAAACTTGTGCAAGATTTAAAATTAAAAAAAGATTGCTGATCGTCAGTGAATGAATGAGTACATGCCTTTTATTCACTGACACTTCTTACTGTGACATAGGAAACCTCTCCGTCTGATGAGCAACATGCTGCAATTTATCCCACCGAGGGATTATTTCCTAGAAATAATGACTAACGGGCAACTTTGGTCTAATCCATGTTTTCCTGGCCATGTGATCACGGGGAAAACCAGGGTCAAGATAATGGTCACAGGCAGTTTTCCTAGGGATTTGCTTACACCCGCTGTTCTGGGAACTCATCCTCTTCTTCTAGAAGGGTCCTTCCCCCACTCTTTCAAGAGGACCCCGGGACAGTCTCAGCTGAGGTCAGCAATACTGGGGGCTCCCCTCCCTCTTGGGTCTTGGGCTGTGCTCTGTCGCTGGGGCTTCAGAGCCTGGGAGCTGCTGCTGTCCACGGGGGTTGCTCTCTGCCAACCCCTGCCAACGCCAAGGACCCGGGTCTGCCTGGGGACCCAGGCTCCTGGGGGGCAGTGCCTTCCATCACTCCTGGACACCTGAGCAGGCTCTGACTGGAGCGATGGGGGCAGTTACTCCCCAGGCCAAGCCACAGAGCACCCAGAATCCAAATCAGAGACAGTACCTCCTGAACTCACTTGTCATTTTATATTTTTTCCTAAAACAAGGTCTATAGCTTATTTATTGTATAATTGCATAATCATTGTCCACAATTTCAGAATCACAAAATAGAAAGAAGCAAATTTAAATCACCTATAATTTTGCCTCTTGGTCGGTGTTCACAGTTGGTTCATGTCCTTTGTGGTTGTTTTTTTAATTTTTAGCTGAAAAATAAGAGCAAGGAACTAACTCTTCTTCCTAATCAGAGTTGTTTAGAAATGTCTTAAAAGTTTTCCAATTATTTTTGTGTTGTTTTGCTTAAATTTTAGTTAAAATTTCTAGTTTACTTCTATTTATTTATTTATTTATTAAAAGATTTTATTTATTTATTGGAGAGGCAGAGAGAGAGCACGAGTGCATGGGCAGTGGGGAGGGGGCAGAGGGAGGGGGAAAGCCCCCGCTGAGCAGGGAGCCCAATGCAGACTCGATCCCAGGACCCCGGGATCATGACCTGAGCTGAAGGCAGACGCTTAACCGACTGAGCCACCGAAGCACTCTACAATTTCTAGTTTAATTGCAAACTTCATACAATATAGTCACTTTTGTAATCCAAGGTTTTCCTATGTGTTAATAGTTATTTTTACAAATAGTCCTTCGGTGCTTGAAAGAGGTACATTTTTGTTTTGAGTGTGTACATTTTAATCATTATTCCTTAATCAGCCATATTATTTTATTATCCAAATTTTCTATGCTTCTTAAACTTTTTTAGCCATCCTTGACTTACAAAGAAAACCTTACCTTGGTTTGTTATAATCTCCTACTCCAAATGTTTTTGTAGTGAATTTCTTCTTAGATTTGTAATAGTCTTTGCTTTAAGTACTATTATCGATGTTATTTTACTTGGCACATAAATATTCATGATCATTATAGTTTCACTGTAATTTTATCTTTCCCACCCTGAAAAAAATCCTTCCTGTTTAATGATTTTTCCCTTGCATCTTATTTTGTCTAAGATCATTTTTTAAAATCTTGCTTACTTGTGTTTGTGTGTGCTTAACATATCCTTGCCCGTCTTTTAAAATGTCTGTTCTGTCCTTTTGTTTTAGGAGAGTTTTATATCAACAACTTGCATTTAAATTTTCTTTCTGATCCAGTCTTAGAGTCTCTGAAAAGGAGATTTTAATTATTTTGTTAATTGTCCCAAAAAGTATGTTTGCTTTTGCTTTTGCCATCTTATTTTTGTGCTTTTTATTTTTTTATCCACCCTTGATTTTCCTTTCTTTTTTGTCTTTTTTGTCTATAGACTATCTTTTTTTTCTTGCTATAATTTGGAATATATATATCCTATTTTTTCCCCAGAATGTTTTCTTGGATTGATATAATTGATGTATGACATTGTGTAAGTTTGGGGTGTACAACATGTTGGTTTGAGATACATATATATTGCAATATGATTACTACAATAGCATTAGCCACTTTTTCATGTCCTTATTTTTAATTTTACTAACATCACCTCTAAGTTGTAAACACTTCACCATCTGTCCAAAACCTGATATCTCCTGACTGACTTCATATCTACTAAAATGATATTCCTCCACTGTGTTAGAACCAAGCTGCGGAAGCCCACTGGAGCTGATCCCCATGACCCCACCCCATCCACTCCGGTGCTGATGAGAATCCTTTCTCAGAGTCTTTGCAGAAGGAAGGACCATTAGCCACGTTTCTGGTGTTAGTAGGTGTTCACCTGGGCCGTCATACCTGGAGAAGGAGCAGAGTATTTCTGGATGACTAGGAGCTGCAGATTGCTTCGCTGGTGGGTGCATCCTTTTAAAAAATACAGATTAGCAGGAATGTCTGTGGCTGGGCGGAGGAAATAGCCCTCTTCACCTCAGGGTGCCATTCCCGTCATGTCCAGAGCTCACTGCCCGGCACTTGCTGGCACCCGTGGGAAGGGCTTGGCTCCCTCTTGTCTGACCTCAGAGTTCTGTTTCAGAAGCCACATTGTGCATCAGTTAATGAGAGTTCCTCAATCTGTCCTCATCTGCACCGCCATTGGCAGAAATCCCTCCTAGACTGGGGCCAAGCTTTAATTGATATTCTTAGCTTCTGGTGCAGTTGCAATTTTGCAATTTTGCATGTGCCTTCATGGGTCTTTTAGCAGGAGAGGATGAATCAGGCAATCAGGCACCTGCTGGGAGCTACCATATGATTCTAGAAGTCTGCAAGTTTGGCTCTGAATGACAGAATGTGAACCATGGTTTCAATGTTTGTTATATAAAGCTTATGGCCCTCATCTCAGCAGATACTACCATCCAACATTTTCCAAACTACGTGTCGAAGAGAAAAGGATCATAAAGTACACTGCATTAAAAAAAAAAAAAAAAAAACAACAGGGGACGAAGAGGTCATAATCGACCATATTGGGGAATCGGTACATTCTATGCCTCTTGGACATTCAAAACACATTGCAGTGTATTAAAGGCTAGGAATATCCTATCGCAAAGAAATTGACTTAACTTTGTTTAGAGTAGCACATCTTAATACTTGGCATTGAAACCTTTTTGGTAGGGCCCCTGGGAATGTCTAACAAAACTGATGTTTTTCCAGAATACACACAGGGATGGATGGCCGGAGCGTGTGCGAGAGAGGGTCTGGGAGAGAAGGTGGAAGGTGGCCCTGTTTCTCTGGTCCCTGCCCACACTTCACCAGAGCCCTGGCATGGATGCACAGCTTGTCCATTCTTCTAGAGTATTCATATTAGTTACATCTTCGGAAAACAAAAATGCCTGGAGCATATTTTCTTAACCTTCAGCAGAACCAATGCTACTGATTGGTAATTAACAACATGTTTTCAAACTTCATAGAAAATTAATTCAGGAAGCTTTCCTTTAAGTTGTGTCTCTGTGTCTTATATGAAACAGCAACCAAAAACAGGGTCTTTAATGTTACTCAGTATCCAAGAATAATCTTTAGAGATGGATTTCATCACAAGTATGATTTCGTTACAAACACGGATAAATGTGTCTGATTTCCCTTTCAACTATTGAGTATAATCTGTGTTTTTCTTTTGGTCTCAGTTACCAGGAAACTCAGAAATAAATACAGTGTTCTTTCTCCAAGTTCCTACTCAAAGATATCTGGAAACGTCAGCTTTCTCTGTTCATTTTACATAACCTCTGGATTTTGTTTCCAGCTTTATTAAGACATAATTGACATATGACATTGTATAAGCTTAAGGTGTACAATGTGATCATTTGATACACTTATGTATTGCAGAATGGCTACCTCAATAAGGTTAGGTATCATCTTCATCCCTTCACATAGTTACCGATTTGTGTGTGTGTGAGGTGAGATATTTTAAGATCTGCTCTCTTAACAACTTCCAAGTGTATGATACAGTCACCATGCTGGACATTACATCCAGAACTTACTCACCCTACAAATGGAGGTTTGTATCCTTTGAGCATCCCCACTCATCCCATCCTCTTCTGCCCCTGGCAACCCCAGTCTACCTTCTATTTCCCACATCCGAATCTCTGAATTTTTAAATCGTTAACTCTCCTGTTTTACTTTGTGATTATTTCTTATACCATCAAGAATCCCTTTACAACAAACTAGTATTTAGATTCTCTATCTGCACATATTGATAAAGTCAAGGAGGCGATAAGGAAAAATCAATTTGATTCGTAAAAAGGAAGTCAAGAAATTTTTGACATTTCCCAGTACAAACGCTAAAAACACATCCCTAGCATTGGAACGCACGAATCAACATCACAAACGGTAATGTTAACAAAGAAAAAGAATCCAGTAAATCTCATCTTTCACTGTCAACAAAATCTTGAACTATTCTGATTTAATGCTCTGAACTCTAAGATTATTCTGATATTGAATTATTTTCATTTCCATAACTGGAGCCAGCTGGAGTTACAACCATTTTTCTTTGTATTATGGAAGTTTTAAGCATACCTCACACTTGGAAACTGTAAACTTCTATGTGGCCCCCTACTGCTTCAATTTCAACAATTACCATCATTTTCCTCATTTGGTCTCATGTTGCTCTACTTCTTAGTTTTTAATTTGTTTTTAAGCAGCCTCCACAGCCGGCATGGAACCCAATGCAGGGCTTGAACACACGACCTTGAGATCAAGACCTGAGCTGAGATCAAGAGTCAGATGCTTAACCACCTGAGCCACACAGGTGCCCCTAGTTTTTAAAATTTTTAAAGCAAATCTCAAACATCATGGTTTTTTTTACATAAATATATCTCTAACAGATGACTTTTTTTAGCATAACCACTGTGCTATTATCATACTTTAAAAATTAACCATAATATTTAATATCATCCTAAATACATTCCATAATTAAATGGCTCCACTTTTCTCAAAAATCTCTTCTTCATCGCTGGTTTCTTCAAATCAGATTCCCTATAAGGTGTGCACGCTGCATTTGGTTGTTATGTTGGAGGCATTCCGAAGTATCATGGCTTTCTACCATTTGAAATGAGAGCTGCGTAAGGATGGACAAGTATTTGCTTTGATTACGTAATTTATTAAGAAGTCTACAGAATACATCATAAGACAGTCTTCCCTTCCTTCTTAAACAAGGGTGGGGACAAGGAAAAGTCCCCTTCGACCTGCTTAGTGTCCCTGGCTGGGTCTGAAAATTAAGATGACAGAGACAGATTAACAAGAGAAAAGCACACACACTTATTTAATGTAAGTTTTACATGACACAAGGAAATGAAGGCCCAGAGGAATGCTTGACCCCCCGTGTTCTGACCGTGTGCTGGGTCTGATGAAGAGTGGGCGGTCGTGAAAGGAGTGATGAGGCAGAGTAGGAGCTAAGTGTTGCAATCTGATGAAACAGCAAGGCTTGTGCTGAGATTCTTCTCAGCTTCCCTTTGTCTTTGGGGCTAGGGCGCTCCGTTCCTTCTGCACAGGAGGTGCACCTCGCATGTGAGGGGCTGTGACCTGCGTCAGGGAAGAAGGGGAGAGAAGGTCAGAGTGACCTTCCTGCTTCTGCTTTTTTCTCAAACTCCTTCAGCTTCAAATAGCAACATGACAAGGTGCCATAGTCTGGGGTAGCTCATCTTGAGCCCTATCATGAGAAAATAAAAAACCACAGTACCACCAAAATAAGGCCCTCTCTTTATTTTTTTTTGTAACTGCCAACACAGGGCACACTGAATTTCACATTCTGCTTTTATCAGCTGATGTTAGACCAAACCAATTCTCTGTTGCCAGTGTCTATATTAAATTACCATTTGTAACAGGTGCACATTATTTCACATGTATTTCATTATTTCATTATTTCACATTATTTCATTATTATTCTATTGCTTTAGCATTTTTGTAGCATTTGCTCAATCCATATGATGTATTGGAAGGGGGAATGCTAGCCAAGGCTGAAAATGTTTGGCGCTTCCCCGCCCCCCTCCTCCCCCCACTCCCGCTTTTAACCCTGTGTTTGACATTGCTTATGGGTCTATGGAGGCAAAGAACTGGAAGGCAGATGGGGAGCAGGGGGAGTAGAGAAGAGGTGGCGGTTTGCCTGGGATATGTTTGAAAAGATTGTTTTTCTTCCATCCTCTTGATTCATGTAGGACCAGCCTGGTAAACCATGTGCTTACCTGAAATTAGTTCTTGTTATAGATGAGATCCAAACTGCAAATTCTGTGTGTCCACTGCAAGCCTGGAGTGTGCAGGCTCCAATCAGCAAATAGTGGGTATAGACCATGCCCTCCTGTGCAGAGGGGAGGCCTCCTGCTCTGTCCCCGGAGGGATGAATGAGTGATGGGCACGGAGCTCCAGATCTACAGAGAGTCAAAGTATTTAATGTCCAACAGTGTGATATCTCATTTATCATTAATTAATCCTCCTAGAATAATCTTGTGCCCAATGACCAGTCTTGCCAGGTATGATACGCAAGGAAAATCATCACTATGTGCACTGTGGCAAATGGTGTACTATGCATAAAATAAGGTGGGGCATAAAATAAGCAAGGATCATAAGCTGAGTGCCCTTTGTGGTGACAATTGTAAGCAATGATATTTTGGTTATATTATTTTTTTAAGATTTTCTTTTTTAAAAAAGATTTTATTAATATGTTTGAGAGAGAGCCTGAGCAAGAAGGAGAGAGAGAGTGTGAGCACACAAGCAGGGGGGAGAGGCAGAGGGAGAGGGAGAAGCAGACTCCCCTACTGAGCAGGGAGCCCAATGCAGGGCTCGATGCAGGGCTCGATCCCAGGACCCTGAGATCATGACCTGAGCCGAAGGCAGACATTAAACCAACTGAGCCACCCAGGCCCCCAAGATTTTCTTTTTAAGTAGTTTCTACACCCAATGTGGAGCTTGAACTCACAGCCCTGAGATCAAGAGTCACATCCTCCACTGACTGAGCCAGCCAGGCGCCCCGATAATAGTAATTTTTCTGTTACCAAAAAAAATTTTTTTCTAGGAATGTTTGGTGCATACAGAAGTTTTTGGCTGAAATTTTTCTTTAGGAACAGGACTATTGGATCTCAAATGAAACACTTTTTTAAGAGAGAGAAAAGAGAGGGAGAGAGAGAGAGTTATATTCTTTTTCAAAAGAATGATGCTAATCACGTAGATCACAAATGTAAATACAAGTCTACAGCCATATTTATATGCTAGCCACAGAGATTTTAAGCAGCAGGTCCACAGAAGTTTGGAGAAAGAAACACTGCAAATATTTTTGTCACACCCTGAGTGCTTGAAATGAAACCTCTCCAATACATCTCTACCATTCCATTTTAACAATAGGAGCCTTGACAATAGAATTAATTAGCTCAGTTGGGAGGGACCTACACACTGGAAGCTCCAAGAGGGTCAGATGAAGGGAGACCAGTAGACCGCAGGGAGAAGAAGCAATGACCCAAGTCAAGGAGTGGTTCAGGGTCTTGCATATTAGTATTTTGAATCTGTAAAAATATAGCCCGACTAGAAAAGCCTTAGAAGTCACCTAGTGATATCATTTTTATTTCTAAAGCAACAATGAACAGTACTGCAAGATCAGCATAATTGAGCCACTGTAATTAAGAAGACTGCTAGCCAGGAAGACAGCTGGTACATTTTGCATTCAGATTCACACAATTCCAGCCATAAGCATAATTGATGTTTGTTCAGGAATATTGAGCTATGTCACAGAATCTGTAAGACGCTGCTTATCTGACAGCTATAGGAAGTGCCAAGTCAAGTACTAGGCAAAAAAAATATGTTCCAGGCAGTAACAGATGTTCTCAGATCAAATATTTCCCTGCAAAATCCTATAGGAGAATCAACTGATAAAACAGCAGAGACTATTTCAGCGGCTCACACCATGGTAAACACACACACACACACACACACACACACACACACACCAAGAAGAAGCCTCTTGTCTGAACTCAGTTTCCCCACCTGCAGTAGGCAGGCTGAGGTATCGTCATTTCTGAAGTCATGGTTCTAGATGCAGTTCTGGGCAAAGGTAGGTCTGTTATTCCCGAAGGGACTATTTTGCCTTTAGGGATGGATTAGAAGAAGTATTACCAAAGAAAGGAGCCAGAAGAAGAAAACACAAAGAAAAAAAAGGAAGAAAAGCAAGCAAGAATGAAGAGTGTAATGAGGTGTGGGGAAGGACTCTGGAATAATTGTTTGACTTAGTTGTCCACTCGGAGCCGAGTTGCCTTTTGAACAGGAAGAAATTTCGTCTCACTTAACGCTCTTGGTGATCACTGAAATTTCATGGCATGTGGAATTTTTGCAGAGTTTTGGGTGAGAAATCAGGAATCACACAAACCTGGCATTTAGAGGTAGGCATTTTGATGGTCTTGAGGTCCTCCCCCACCTCAGGACCTCCTCTGCCTTCTACCGATCACCTAGGCTTGAAACTCGGCCCTTTCCTTCAAGACTCTCTCTCTCTAAGCTCGTGCGTGCTGAAGACGTTCCTGAAGATACAGATGCGGGGAGGAGGCCCAGGGAGGGGGACTTTGCCATTTTTCTGGCCCATCCTCCTCTTCTTCTCTTCCTTCTCACTTCCTCTCCCCTTCCTTGAGTGGAGACCAGAAGCTCCAATTCCTCCCCTCACCCTGGCACAGCAGTGGACTCTGCCCCACTCCATCTGTGAACCTGCTCATCCTAATGGGTCAGGCTCTGCTGGCCTGTGGTTTCCTCTTGGTCAGGAGCATTCTCCTGGGGGCCTCCCCAGGCCTGGGACCTTAAAACTCACTGCCAATCACAGGGGTTCTGGATTGTTCTGCATCACCCAGTTTCCTGAACCAAAACCTGGGATGGGAGGTTCCCCTTTTCAACTTCCTCTTCTTCAGGACTCTGCTTACCATACAGCATCCAACATCTAGACAAATCTGTCTCAAGTATCACTCCAGCAACCCCATACATAACTGCAGTCCCCATATCCCTGGTACCCCTCCTTCTCCTTTCTATTTCTCTGTATCATGAATCACCCTCCGACCTACTACAGCTTTGCTGCCTTTTTGTGATCCCCCTCCTCCCGTCCATCCCTGCCCCCAGTGTGAGTGCCATTAAGCAGAGACCTCATGGGTTCTGTTTCTCAAGCTAGTCTCAGCACCTGGACCCATGCATGCCACATTGTAGGCACTGCACAAATACTTACCAAATGTTGCATTAAATTAAGATCTCAGTAGTAAGTAGTGGACTCAGGATTTAAATTCAAGCAATCTGACTGAAGCTAGGTTAATATTTGCCCTTAATGAGCTTTCATGTACCAAGCAACATAACATCCATGAGCTTCAGGTAAAACACAAGATACATTTTGGAAAGAATCACACACATAGGAGAAGCCATTATTAGGTCACAGTAAGTCCATGAAAGATTACATAGACAGACTTGGAATAAGTGAAAAAATAAAACGATTTTGTAGCATTTACAGATGACAACCTTATATACCACCAAAAGGAAACCCAGCTCCTTGAAAATCCATGCAATGGCTTTGAATATTACCAAAAAATGTCATGTGATGAAAGTTTTAAAGAGAAACACAAATCTATTTATTAGCTTCTGGGGAAAAAACTTGTCGAACTTAAGCAAGCAAATAAACAACTATAACAAAATAAAGAAACACGTGATTTCTGCATTCGGTACACAGATGCAAACGGCATGGATTCGAGGGGTTCCCCAGGATCCCACTGGTGAAAGGAAAGAAGGAAGTGGATGTTTGTACCCCCACTTCAGTCTGGACAGGCTGTGGAGGCATGTGCTTTGGTCCATTGCAGAAGGAGAAGAGGGTGCACGTACGAGGGAAGGCTGACCACATCTCCAGGCCGAGGTGCAACACGTGCTCACCATGTTGGCAGAGCAATTTTCATCATGTAACAGGGAAGAAGAATGTCACTGGTGGGAAAGGAAGGACTCCCCTCAGTGGACAGGTCCCAGGCAGCGCAAAGATTCTAATGGAAGCCTCCAGAAGCTTAGAAGCAGCTGCAGAGAGTAAGGTTCCCCCACCTGAAGGGTTGGAGAGGGAATCCCTTGGAGACAGATGGCCTGGTTATTACCTTGTACAGCCATACCCGGAGGACCTTACAACACCTTTTACAAAGATAAAAAATTATAAAGAAAAAAAGGCAAAGTTCTCTATCCCAGTGCATCAAAGTAAAAAATTAATCACATCAAAAAAAAAAAAAATCCTAAACCATTTGGAAATTTGAAATATAAAAAAAAAACTTCTCCCAAATAACAATTTGTGAGTCTTTATCAAAATCTACAATATGCTGACCTTGTACCCCAAAAATGTGTTTCTTAGAGACCATCCCCTAGAAATATTCATTAGTGCGCTAAGATGTATGTCCTAGGACATTCACTGCAGCCTTGTCTGTAACTGTAAAACCCTTGGGGGAAAATCCCAATGATCTTCATAGGGGTAAACATAACGAAGTCATGTGGCCATTATAAAGAATTCGGTGACACACTTCTGACATGGAAGGAGAGCTGAGTCTAAGCTCCATGAGTGGGGCAGGGAGATCTCTGTTCTGTCCACATATGGATCCCAAGATGCTGGAACAGAAATGGGCACATAGCTATCTCTTAATAATATTGATTAAGTGAATGGATCTCTGAAATGTATTTCTAAGTGAAACTAGCATATGAGAGCAATCTGCATGGCATGAACCATCGGTGGTAAAAAATATCAAATGTGTGCAGAAAGAGCAACTAGGGAGAGGGTGGGAGGGAGGCCCCCCAGCCCAGCCTGTGGTCACCGTGGGACACGGGAGGCATCAGGACTGAGGGGGTGGGAGTAGTGGAGGGAGGCTGCTCCTTCTTGTTCTGAATACTCCTGAGTTCTTTAAATATTTACAAGAATATTTTTATTCATGTACTTATAAGAACAAAAAGATGAAGAGAATAAAAAAAGAGAATTAATAAATCAAACCAAAGCTGATTCTTTGAGGGTTTGTTGGGGAGATCTCTGGTAAGTCTCATGAAGAAAAGTCATGCATAAAAAGCAGAAATAAAAAAAAGTGGATATAAGCTACATGAGAAGACAAGGCAGGATGATCAGCCAACCAACTTGAAACTGTTAATCACGAGACATCTCTTTTCTGCTCATGTATTAAGTGAAAAACTTTAACCCAGGAAAAAGCATGAAGACATTTTTCATGATGAAAAGAAAATTTAAAACAAAATCAAACAACAGGAAATAAAGATAAAGCATTGTTCCTCCCCCAACCCCAGACTCAGAAGATTTCACTGGAGAAGTCATTTAAACTTTCAAGGAAAGAGACTTCTCATACTTTACAAATTCTTCCAAAGATGACCATGATACTATTCTTTTCATGTAAATAATCTATTTTCCAATAATAGTACTTTTGTCAAAGATGGCATATTATTAACATGGATGCAAGCATTCTCAATAAAGTACTTGCACATAAACTCATAGATATGTTACAATATTTCAATGCCTCACTGAAGGCTTATTCCCGGGAGACAAGAGTACTATAATGGTAGGAAATCTATGAATGCATACTTCAAATTAAAAAGATAAAAGCAGAGGGGTCTCTGGCTGGCTCAGTCAGTAGAGCACGTGACTCTTTTTTTCTTTAAGATTTTATTTATTTATTTGAGAGAGAGAGAGACAGTGAGTGGGGGGAAGGGCAGAGGGAGAAGGAGAAATAGGATCCTGCTGAACAGGGAGCCCCATGGGGGGTTTGATCCCAGGACCCTGGGATCATGACCTGAGCCTAAAGCAGATGCCTAACTGACTGAGCCCCCCCAGGCACCCCAGAGCACATGACTCTTGATCTCAGGGTGGTGAATTCGAGCCTCACAATGGGCATAGAGATTACTTTAAAAAATAAAAATATTTTAAAAAGATAAAAACAGAAAAATATCAGTAGGTGCCAATAAGGGCGCCTGGGTGGCTCAGTTGGTTAAGCGACTGCCTTCGGCTCAGGTCATGATCCTGGAGTCCCTGGATCGAGTCCCGCATCGGGCTCCCTGCTCGGCAGGGAGTCTGCTTCTCCCTCTGACCCTCTCATGCTCTATCTCATTCTCTCTCTCAAATAAATAAATAAAATCTTTAAAAAAAAAAAAGTAGGTGCCAATAAGGCATTTAATAAAGTTCAACAATTATTCTTATTGGGGAAAGCAATAATCTCTGAAAGTAGCTAAGTATTCCAGGATTACATCTCACACCGAATGGACAGTTTTATGCTTTAAGGGTAAAGAGCTAGTAGCATTTCCAACAAAATCAGAAATGGAGTCCTGCCATGTCCTGTTGCCAAACATTGCTCGAGAAGTTCTAGAAACAATAAAAGATAGAGTTTTTAGAATAAAAGAGAAAATGGTATCATTAGTTGCCTGTGATATGATTGTGTACCTAGAAAACTCAAGAGTCACACATTTAAAATGATCAAAACGAATAGAAGAGCCCGCTGATAAGGCTGTACTTCAGATCATGAACACAAATCAGTGGTTATAAAATGTAGTAAGTCTGACTTATAAAAACAGTTTGAGCTGAGGTCCTCAAGGATGTTAGTGGCAGGTGGCTGATGAACATGGGTTAGAATGGGGGCCTTGCTGGACTTTCATGAAAGGAAGGGACACTTGGAAGGTGACAATCGAAGCTGCCATTCTCCAATGGGCTTCATCCCGAGACAACATGAACTCTTGTGATGTGAGAATTCTCAAACTTCTTTCTTTGTTGATTATTGATGTTGCCCTCTGTCTATGTCTCCATAGAGATTCTCTCTTAAAAAATAAACAGTAAGAAAACTGACTTATGAGCTGGTTCTCTGGCCATCCCAAAATGAGTCAACAGGCAAGAAGGTGCCTCACTCAGCTCCCAGAGCACTAACCCCGGAAGGGTGGTTGGCGTAGCCCCATCTGAGCCCAGCAACCACCACGGGGTTAAGGTGACAACTTGAGCCCAAGGGTGTGGTCCTGGGAGCTCAGCAGGAGGAAAGTCAGATTTCTTGGCACTTCTCTTGGAAATCTCAGGCAAGTCCAGTGACTTCAGGAAATGAGCATCTCCTAAAGGGACCTCCTTGCTGCTGGTTCTGCAACCTCCCTCCAAGGGTGGGCACCTTCAACAGGTGACTGAGGTCAGGAGCAGTCATATCATGGCCTTAGTTTCAGGCAGGAAGAATAGTCTTGTCCAGCATTATCTGAAAGAGGGATTTCCAAAACTGTGTGTCATGACCTGAGGAGGACAGTCGATTTAGTGGGTTTTGAGCAGCGTTTTTTAAAACGAACCTACGTGGGAGAGAAGAGTAAGTAGTAAGGCTGTGAGTGTGAATACCGGCTCTTGATGTAAAAGGTATTTCTTACTGTGGGTCACAACCACAAAGGGGTTGAGAAGCATAGCCAGCTCCCCCTGTCCCTTGGGAGCTCTGTCTCCCATGCTTGTCCCTTGTCTCTCACCATCAAACATCTCCTCGGTAGCAGCAACTGGAGCTGGGCAGGGGGAATGTTTGCAAATCAGTTGTTTCAAGGCCCGAATGTGGCTGATGGGTGACTTCAGTTTGGACTCTCACAGCCCGGTGGCAATGGCTGCAGGAGTGACTGGCTCTAAGTTGGCAGCTAATATTTTCTGTATGAAGTCAAAATTGCCCCTTTTCCCTCATTTTGGAGGAAGAAGGGGAGGCCTGTGACAGAGATGCTCCAGGACAGGGGGCAGTGGAGGCGAACTCATCCCTACACAGCTGGAGGCAAAGACACAGAAGTGGTCCAGGCCATGCCCCGGGCTTCATCCTTGCTGTCCCTTTCCCTCCCATCCCCGCATCTCCGCCATGTGCAAATTATGTCCACTTTGCCTTTAGTCTGTCTCCAGAATCCAACCACTTCTCAGCATTCCTCCTGCAAAATGGCGACCGGAATATATAGAGTTGCTCATTAAACCCAACTGGAACTTGTGGACTCTCTAGGAAATATGTCTTGTGCCCTTATTCTGGTTGTGTACAATTAAATTGGTGACCCAGTGAGTTGAAAGGACAGCAAGCACACTTGTAAGAGTCCCTCTATCCACCATTTTATTTAACAGACAGCACATCCTCTTTCTCTGTAACGACTTCTGTGAACCTGGCTCTCTTGTGAGACCAGGAGCCCTCAGCCTGGAAGCTCTCCTCCTTACACGCAGGGTTTTGACTCTGGGTTTGGGTTTTGTGGCAGAGACTCCCACTTTTGCCTCACGAGGCTGAGCAAGGTTGAGCTGCCTCAGTGGCTTGGAGGCTGGTGTAGAGCTTCCCACAGGACCCAGCAAAGCAGCCTCGTTTGTCTGTCCTGTGGTTTCTCTATTTTTTTTAAAAGGAAAGCGGTTATTCCCTGAGTCATGCTATATTTTTGTGACCCATAGTAACACCCTGAGAAGTATCTCTAGAAGTTACAAGGTTTCAAATCAAAGACATAAAATTAAGCATTCTGCCATGACTCCTTCTGCAAAGTCTAGAGAAGTTGCATCAGCTTTTGGGGGAGGACCTGTCAAAACGCTCTTCAGATGGGGAGCCAAACTTTCATATGTAGCCAGTGGGTGAGGAGAGGCCAGTGGGGTTACTAGCCACCATGGGCTCCACCCACAATCCTGCTCTATCCATGGGAGCCCCTGGTTGAGAAGGTCTGACTGCTGGGAAGTTGCTGGAGCAATAAGCTTGCACAAAGCAGAGCAGGCTGCTCCCCAAGACATTGGGCTCAGCACAGCACTAGCTTGATGTTTTGTTCCAGCAATTCTGTTTTACAGCAATTCTGTTTTACAGACTCAAATAAAATTGTGCAAAGATGTCAATTACTCAGAAGTCACAAGCTCTTCTGCTTTTTTTTTTTTTTTTTTGCTGTCTGCCTTGTCCCCACTCCCTGTCCCTAGTCCTGTGCCCAAATATTATTGTAGACAAATGAAGAATCTTACAAACGCTATACCAATCAAGACTTTTTCAAAAAGGACTACTAGAAAAGTTGATCAAATATGAAGCAGGCTCTCTGGAGGAAATCTGTTTTGTTGCTACAGTGTCCAGTGGGTCTAGTGGTGTTGGTCCCTGGTGTTTGGACAAGGAGTTACTTGCTCATTGACAAAGTTTGGGTTCTGGGCATCTGCCAGACCCCAGCAGGGGTGGCCATGGATGTGGGCCATGGGCGAGGCACCCGGGGGAGGCGAGGTGGCATTCTGTGTCCCCAGAGCCTAAGATGTGAACGGGTTCTGACACGAATCCAACCTTGGGCTTGGTCCCACTTGTTTCCGTTTCACCTGTAAGTACCCTGCCTTGTGTTCAACGTAGGGCGTGCTCAGAGCTCCCAGTCTCCTGTCCTCATGCTGCTTGGCTCAAGAGTGATTTCTGAGAAGCCTTCCCTGAAACCTCTGATTAGGTCCCTGGGTCTTTGAACTCTTACCACACCAATTTAGTTCCTCCCGTGTTACTTAGCACATCTTATGGCAACTACCTCTTTTGTCAGATTACACATTCCTTGCAGGTAAATATTTCATCTTAATTCATCTTGGTGTCCTGAACCTGACAAAGTAGCCACTTGTATCAGCTAGCTATTGCCAGGTAACAAACTGCCCCACTCTGTGGCTTCAGACAACAATCACTTATTATTATAGCTCATTGGTCAGTGGACCTGCTGGAGATAGGCTGCTTAATCTAGACTGCACTTGGCTGATCCCTGCTAGGTTCCTTAATGCATGT